AGGAGGACTTGATCGGGAGAGGGCACTAGTCATTTGCCTTTTCATCAGATGGCACTTGACCCCGGCAAAATGCGCGGAGAGAGTCAAGAGGTGGGCAAAACAACATAATGCATATATATATATATACAGTATACATATATATATATATGTTGACCGTTCTTTTGGTTGCACCAAGCATCAACTTGGGATGTTTGCTATTCAATAAGGAATTCAATAATGGTATATAAATGCTGTCGGGTTCTGATCATTTTGGATGCAGGCCACAGGACATCTCAAACCCACAGGTGGCAGGTAAGCAAAAGCGAAGAGATCGGTTGCACATCCAACTAATTTGTTGAAAGGAAAAGAGTTTGGAAAAAATCATGGTGAGAACACGTGTTAAGATTTGTTAACACCGGTCATGGACATCCTCGAAAGGACCGTTCTTTTCTCAGGTGTTCATTGAGTGCCATGACCCACATTCATAAAGATAAAACACTCAGGAATCCTCAGGTTTTAAGACTGTTGAAATTATAGTCTCTCTCACAAGTAAGTCATCTTTGAGCCGTGCCATACCCATCTCATATAACTGCTGGTTCTCTTGGTGGAACCCTCCAAAAGTCAAGTTCCAGCTTGGAGCCTTTTCTCACGGTGAGCCTCTTCTGCCACCGGTTCAAAAATGCCCAAAACAGCCGAGCGCCCACAGTAGAGCTGCTGAGCAGCGCGAAAACAGATTCGTCACGTATACCAGCGACGTACAAAAGGGAGATGAGGAATCTGCTATTCACTCTTCACAGGGGGCGGTTGGTAGATGTCACACATTTGGAGAACATGTGGCTACAGGTGTGAAAGGGATTCGGAATAATTGTGGAATTCTTTTCTCCGGTGGAGCCGGGCATGATACAAAAAGCGCTTCGTCCTGCAGCCCATGGGCGTGTTGGAGGGAGTTCCTTGCTGCCCAGTTTTTGTCTTCCGATCAGACTCCGTGCTGGAGCATGTCAATCGGTCTATATAACCTTTGCCATGGAGAGTGAGGTAAGACCTGATACCTGCACATCAAAATGGCGTGATGAATAACAACAATGCAGGCTCATGCAGGTGCCAATGAACTAAGGTGCACCAGGTTGAAACACACACGCACGTTTATTATTAACTTTGGATACAAGTTCTGGCACAAGTCCGTTGCACTTGGAGTTGCAGTTATGAACTTGTCCATTTTGGGGGGGTAGGTAACGCTCCACATGTTCAATTTTTCGCCTGATCTCCTGGATGCTGTGATCAGCCGGTGCAATAGTCATGAGACTGATTCATTTGTTGGACCAGCTGGTCGGTTGCCGCAGGCAGTAGCCTTCTGCGGCCATTTCGACCAGCTGCAGGGCAGAGAAAGGCGGAACCTTGGGACATGCGACATCAATGGTTGCATTCCAAGTGATTTGGCACCAATTTTGCTTGAGGACTTGCGTTCACCACCGACGGTCACGGTCTTCTTCAGAGGATGCCAAATATGATCTTAAGTGATCTTCAGCGATCATGGAACTCACGAAACATCTTTCCACCCGCTTATTTTGAAGAAAGGGTGACGACTTGTGGGACTGTCCCTGTGGATGAATCCCCCATCATCCCGGGGAAAATCGGTCAACGAATCCGTGTTGTTGTTGGTATTTATTGTCCCGGTGGGTTCCGACCTCGTCTCGTCTCCAGACAGGTGCCGGGACGTCTCGTCTCGTGCAGGTGCCTGGAGCGTCTGGTGGAGCTGTTTGGCGCTTGGAGGCCAGCTGTGGCCTTGCAGTGTCTTGGTGGCCTGAGGGATGGGAGGGTGACTGGGTGACTGTGTGTATGACTGTTTGGGGTGATAAGCTTGACAAAGAGGATAGATTGGGGATGGGTGACCCTGTTTGACATGGCATATGTAGTGTAGCTCAACAATTGCGAATGCACATCTGTGCCATTGGCATTTGCAGGAGTTTGGTATTTAGGTTGCCTTTGCTTGGGGTGTGTGTGTGTGTGGGGGTTTCCATGGAATTGTCAGAGGTGCCCCTTGTCTATTGCGTGGTTGTTATAATTCCTTGACAACTGGAGAAGGAAAGTCTCCTGAGACCTTTAGTCCCTCTAGTCCAGATCAAACCTTGGGCCGCTTGGAGGCCTCTTCTGAGGCCTTTAGAGGGCAGAACGAGCTATTGCTTTGTGTATAGTGGGGAAAAAGCACTTGCACTCTGAAGTACTTCTGAAGCCGCACTTTGATGACCTCACAAAATGGTGGCTGCTTGCAAAACGCACTGGTCAGTAACGTTTTATGCGGCCTTTTGAAGGGCAGTAGTTGAGCAGGTGTTTTGTTCGCACGACAGCGGGGTCGGGAAGAGGTCGTTTGGCCATCAGGTTCAACTTGGATCCCCAGAAATGGTTCGATTTGACCATCCCAACCACCCATGGCCCTTCACGATTGGTTGATGAGGGGTTACCCAACTTGCTAGGTGAACAACAACTTGGTATGTGGATTCACCAATCGGACCCCCTCGATTTGTCCAAAAGGACCTCCTTGATCCCAACAGCCCGCTGGGCCCACAGCGCCTCAGGTGGCCGCGACCCTGCGCCGCGCCGAGTCCCGAAGGTCGCGGCGGCTGTCGCAGCGGGCGACGGCGGTGGAGGCGACGGAACTGGTCCCAGGAAGGGAGGGTCGGATGGTACAGTGACTTTGTGCAGATACCCTAGTAATTTTGGGTGGTTGTAGTGAGTTCTTTGCGGAAATGGATCCTTAGTAAGCTTGTATTTACTCATATTTTGACTATACCCAGATTTAGAAAGCCTCTTCTTTGGGCACCAACGTGGATAGTTGGAAGACCAAAACTGCTCGAGCTGTTAAGCTGATCTGGGGACTAACAATGAGATGACCTACAGCCTGTCTACAGCTTTAATTGTTGTGCGGGCTTTTGCTCCTGCATGCGAAGTCCGGGAGATTGACCAGATGGACATCAAAGACAAATCGCATCCAACAAAAATAAGAAGGTTCTGGTTCCCCATGTCGATCCTACGGAGGATGGTTGGTCCATTCTCAATACCACTCACACGGTGGCCCATGTGATCGGTTCACCATCGACGTTCAGGAGGTCTCAACCACTGCTACAGAAGAGTCAGGCGTGAGGGAAGGTGAGGTGATGGGTTGAAGCAAGCAGCTTGCCTGTGTGCCACAGCGTGCCATAACCTGATTTGACATGGTGTGGTGGTCATTCAAAACCGCATATGTTTGTCAACCAACATGTTGTCATCCAACATGAGTTGAGTTGTTTGTGGAGCCAAGCATGTTTTGGATTTGTCACAAATGGAGTGTGGAGTCTTCGATCCTTTTCCCTGGCTGGATCGGTTGTGGAGTGGCTCAACAGAAGAAAACCTACGTAGGCAGCGCAGTGTCGTTTGGTCCACCATTTCCCGGCTACTACTGAGCCCCCAGGACATGCAACTTGACTCCTGTTGGGTAGCAAAACTCACTTGTTGTGCGGTGTCATCATGCCCGTGTTTAACACCTCATCCACGGATATGGTGCTTGGTTTTTTAAATTGAGCACAAGCTGCCTCAGACAGCCATTTTCTGGAAGCTGCTGAGAAGATCTGGAGAAACAAGGAAAAAGGATGAAAACATCTGCTTCCTTCCTCCCGAACCAGCTCAGACTGCCCTGCCAGGTTCGTCTTGGAAATACGACCTCATCCGCTCAGTGGGCGAGGACGGGAGGATCCTCATGCCTGGTCGTGCCGATCGTGCGGCCCCACGACGTCGACGCCTTAGACGGCCGTCTCACGGAGACAATGTGGATCTGCACGATGCGCCATCTCTCATTCTCGCGTTAGCCAAGCACTGGAGCCAAGCAAAAACCACCCCGTTGCGGGCTGGTCAGTCCGTCAGATGTTTTTGAGTGGTTAGTCACGTCGGCTGTTCACCAGCAGGGGAGTCTGTTGATCCTGGTTTACCGGTTTACCTTTCAACTTGCAGCTTCGTTGTTTCAGTCGGACTTCGCTGCCAAACTCTGTGACCCGTGAAGTTGTCGGTTGCCACTCTGGTACTCGTGTCAGACAGAGGAGTGCCAGACAGAGGCAGAGCTGCGGAAGCTGGTGGAGAAGAAACCGGACTTCGCCACTGGGACAGGAGAGATGTGGGGTAGATGGTTGTCCAGTTGTCGATGCTACGGAGATATCTAGGTAGACGGGTCATTGAGAGGCATGAGACGCCCTTTGCTGGGTTGAACATAAGTAAGTCATCCACCAGTCCCAATTCATCCCCCCATCATGTTCTTCCGGCCGTTCGCATGAAGTGTGTGACGGGTTAGAGAGTTTTCACCCAGTTGGAGCAGGTACCTGGTGAAGCTGGCTAGGTGTTGCTGACGTTTCAGTCTCCTGGCACTCCGGTCATCTTGCGTGTCCGGTCGCATCACCGAGCCATTGTTTGTGATCTACGGCAATGGTATGTTTGGACGTGACAAGCTTTACACAAGTTACAGTACTCATGTCATCAGGGATCAAGTTGTTATATTAATAGTTTGGATTGTCCATTCCATGTCTCTTTCCGAGGGCAACAGCTGTATTTGTCGATCCTTTGTGGAAGCAGCTGGGAACGCACACTGTCGCGCCGAAACGCGGCAAGCCCCAGGTCTGCTATGATGGCTTCGAGCCCTCGGGACGGATGCACATCGCGCAAGGGGCACCTTGGTGGCATGGGGCGCGTCAACGTAGCTGCGCTACCTCTGAAGAAGTTATGATTTCGATGTAAGCATCCCTTACTTAAGGACGACATGTAACAATCAAGAAAAAGCAATGCTTTAGGACATGTATACCTGCCTTCGGATGCATCTGGATGCGTTTGGTACCCTGAGCCATTTCAGGGCCGTCTAGATGGGTCGGTTTGTTTCCATTGAGTCCAATCCGACCATCTTCTGTTTGTTCGGCAAGGTCTACAAATCCGTCTGCGTGAACAAATGCACGAAGGCGGTTGCAAAAGGGCGGAAAAAGCGGGCTCCACAGACATTGTTTAGCCGTTTTCTATGTTTCATACATATATATATATATACACACATGGGGGTCGTTCAACCCTTTGCATAAGGACGGGCTTTGGAGAGGACATGTCAGAAAGATAGGTCATGTTTCTGTGCCTTGCAAGAAGGTGCAAGTATGGGTGAGTGCCAACCATATATATATGTGTGTGTGTGTACTACTTGCTACTTGCTGCCTACTGCCTACTGCCTACTACCTACTACTACTACTACTACTACTACTACTACTACTACTACTACTAGGACGACGACGACGACGACGACGACGACGACTACTACTACTACTACTACTACCACCGAGTCAGAGCTCCAGGGAAAGCAATCCTTATGAGGTTCGAGCGCGCCACTCACAAAATATATATATATGCAAAACATGCCATGCGCGGAGAAAGGCGCCAGGGCGAGTGCAAGTGCCTTTCAACATCACACCTGCAACCAAGGTTTAGAACAACCCCATATGTATATAATTGTTCACTGTTCTTTTTACCACGATGCGACCACGGTTGTTTCCAGAAGCTCGGACATCAAAGTTTCTGAATTGGTGTTTTGCTGTTTCATATGACTTTCGGGGAGGAAGGGATGGCACTGGACTTGGTTGGAAGTTGAGAGGCCATGAGTGGCGACAGAGTTTCATACGTTCCCACCAGGCCAGCTCTGCTTGTCAGGCTGGCGGGCAATTCATTTTCTGGGTGGCAGATTGGTTCGCCCTCATGAACGACAAGATGGGTGGATGCTTGGCCGCGCAACGCGGTGATGGCTACGTGACGTTACCCGAAAAAAGCGCCTCAAAGAGGAGTAGTTTGGTGGAAATTGGTCATGAACCACAAACTGTAGGGGTGAGACATGCTGGAACAAGGGTAACACAGGCTCCCAAGCAGCAGTGGAACCCAAGGAAAGGTGTTTTTGGTTGAATTCTTCCAGAAGGCTTTAAAGACTTGCAACCTGTGGGGTTTACACAGTCCCGGTGGCACTTGCAAAATTAGAGCAAACCCTGCCGGTGCTACTATTTGGATATCGTTCGACACCCTTGATCAAGAAACATATACATCAAGTACTCTAGCCTGGTGTAGTTCCAGCTTGGCCATGTCGAAAGGCACGCAAACACTACTGTAATTGTAGTCTGTTTTGAGGAGACATCGAGAAGATCCGCACCGTCGGGAAGTGCCGACCTCGGACCGCAATGTTTGGGGAGCGAATCGGTTGTGGCACGTTGTGGTCTAGATCTCACGTGCAAACAATGGATTTAAATGGATTTAAGATGATCTAAGGATCAAGATCTCTTTGATTACCCGCTGAGACGGTGCACCATTGAAATAGTTCCTCTTCTGACTCTTGTGTATATGGATCATCCACATAGATGTTTCAAAGAATGAGAGAGGGGGAGCCGGGAGCGATAAAATGATGTTATATAAAAGATCTAGGTCAACTGAGGATCAATCTAGTTGATATCCCTGCTGCGCTTGGCTCAATGAATGTTAGCATTTGCCCAGATAGAACCCCTGGAAGTAAGGTTTAATGTTTCGATGACACTGGGGCTCGGTGACAAGACGTCCCATCTAACCAAACCTGATGCTTTGCTTGGACCTCCCATTGGGCAAACAGAAGTCTATATATAGATGGCTCAAAGTCAATCAATAATCAAGATCCATGTGTTTTGTGTGTCTTTGTCGCATGTGATCATGTGATGGAAGAGTCATAAGTCATGGCCGCTGGCAGGGCCATTCACCACGGAAGTTCCTCAAGCAGACCTCCATTCCCCCTGATTTCAGCCAGGACCGCACCCAGCCCCACAGCCGTCTCTGTCGTTGCCCCACAGCAACCGGTTGACCGGTACCGAGCCTATGGGGGGCGTTCCCAGCTGCAAGGCCGGAGGGGGACCGACGCCAACAGCTGGTTCATCTGGGAAGAGGAACATTTGGAACATTATGGAACCTGCATTCCTCCACCAAGCAATGGGCTTTTCAATTATTTTCAGGTTCCATGCTGCTAGTTGTGCGACTGTAACAGAAATTCCCTCAAATGGCTGCCTTGAAGAATCCCTTCTGGTGGGGTTCCACCAGGTTCTCCCAGTTTCTGGATCACATGTTGGATTCTTGGAAGAATTCTTCGTGGTGCCTTCTATTTCTGACTGGGGCAAACCACGCAAACTGGGAGAAGCTGCGGGCCCTTCGCGTGGCGTGGGACGGCGTGGGGGGGGGCGACACGTGAAGATCAAGGTTGGATGCTACCCCGAGGAGTCCATGCTATGCGAACAGGTAGCATGCGGAACGGCGCAACGTGCTCAGGTTGAACTGGAAAATGGCCCCCGAAGGCCATGGAAGGCCTTTTCTGATCTCTTCAAACACAGGTCAAACAGGTTGCAGACAGCCTCATGACTGCAGTTCCTAGGCCATTTGTAGAGGTGCAGGACTCGCGTGCTCCTTCAAACGCCAGCAGGTGATCAACCATGGTGTTTGTGGCCTTCCACCCGCCTCCCGGGACAGCGGGAAGGGTAGAAACGAGCGAGCTCGACCTCGATCAGTTGAGGTTCCCTGGCTTTGGTACCAAATGGTACAAGTCTAACATGACAGACTAGGCTTTAGCAGATGTTCCCAACAATTTTTGCCTTTAGGTTTTGACTGCAGCTACTGGATGGAACATGTGTGTGGCGACTTGTGCGCAGTATGCAATGCACAGTCCATCAAGAGTGAGACAAGCATCAGGACTGTGCGCAGTCCGAGTGCCCTAGACATCCTAGACATTCAAATTCGTAAGCCAAAGATGGGGAGAAATCGTGGCAAGCCCAGACATCCGCGCTTCAATTGTGAATGTATCTTTGATGACTGTCGGTGTTCATGCCCACCACATGTCACATAGGGCTATAGAATGAACCATCCTTGTGGCTCGACAGGAGAGAGACTCCAGCTGCTGCAAAGTGCCTTGTCTAGCTTGAGGGTCAGCCAGAAAATTGCACGGTGCAAGAGCAGTTGGTGGGTTTGGGTCTCTGTCTATGCAAGCCAAAAGTGTTAATTGAGGGACCAATGCGTATGTACATGCACAATCATACACATATATGCACATATATAGTTATTATACACTGCGTCTACGAAGGTATCAGTACCTTGACCCGACGACAGCAAAAGCGGGTGTGTTGCCCTTGTTAAAGGCTGTGCCTGGCCTAAAGGCCGTTGGGCTTAAAAGCTAAGAGCCTGGCCTGGTGAAGAGCGGAAGTTTGTCCTGTTGCCATCCAAGCCAAAGTAATATTCACATTCAGGTGCCTACAAGATGCTCGGGTGAAGGTACTGAACCTGTGGAGGAGTACCGGTACCTGTTCAGTTTGTGAGGTGAGCAGAACAAGACTGAAGACCTGCCAGGTAACTTGCATCATCCACGGATTTTTGATGGTGCTGTTGAGCACCAGCCATTTGTAACCTAAGGAGGGCGGCTGTGGAGATCAGGCAAGGCATCAGGGTATTGAATGGCGGGGGTGGTTTCTCCCGGAGAGATATCATATTCTGAGATAACACCATATCATATCACATCATATCATATCTAAAATATCTCATACCATATTGAAGAGATATCATATAATATCATGTCATAAAATAGTAAAAGATACATTGCTATCATTTCACCAGGAAGACCTGAGGTTCCCCGAGACACATATATAACTCTATATATATATATATATATCACTATATAAGGGCTTTCGTGTTGACAACCATCCTGATGTTCTTCGTGTTGCCATGTTGGGCCCCAGTTGATCTCCAGCTTTCTCGGGTGGAAGGATCATGGACTCGGAGGGAGCGCATGCCGCCACGCCGAAGCTGGGGGCGTCCAACAGAATGTAGTTCATTGCTGGACGATTCTCTCTCTCTCTCTCTAAAAGAGATAAATGTATATATATTATATATATATATACACTGTATATATATAGAATTATAATTCTATATATAAAGGTTTACTTACTCTTTCCAGATTCTCCTGTGTAGACTCAGAAACCTCTTGTGTGCTCACTACTTGAACAAACATCCCAGCTTTGACCTTGTGTTGCGGGCCTTGGCAATCCACAGAACAAAAGCTTCACGTGGGTTGTCGTCTCCCAGCAAAGTGGTTTGACGACAGTGCGTGACGAGGAAATATGATGCCTGAGTATCACACTCGCGCGTTCGTACACAGGTGTTGAAAATACTGTCTTCTGATGTCTTCTGTTAACAATGGGCTTGAAGGAAAACCCGAAGAGAGTGATCATGTTTTAGCACACGCCTGCCAAATTGATAAAACATTGCATTCTTCAATAGAAACCTTTAAGGCTAAGTCCGCGCGGACGAAAAGACATTTGATCCGTGCTTCAGCCATTAGCAAATCGACGAATCGAAGTTGCCCCAAAAGATGTCAGGTTTTCGGCACGTTCAAGGTTTTGTTTACACGGCCCTCAGATGATGCGTTTGAATCGCTTAAGTGAGTACTTTATTGTCATATCAAGTCATACCATATCATGTCATATATTATCATGTCATATCAGATCGTTTCTTGCATCAATCTGTGTGGCGTAAGCTTGCCCATTGCTGCATCAGAGATATTGTTGTATTTTGTGCATTTTGAATGGGCGTATCACAGTGATACATCTGTAGTTAGGCAATATTGGGTAAGAGAGACTTGTTCAGGCGTTGAATGCAATTTTCAACTATATACTTAAGAATCTAAGGGTGTCTGTAAACAGTTTTCTTCTTCATGTGGGTTTGGATGATTGAAAGAAGCACGATAGACTTGAAGCTTTTGCACTTCGTCGCAGGTAGAACACCTAGGCGCTCGACGAGCGCGCTGACGAGCGCGCTGCTTCGCCGCGGCACTATGTTGGGCTGGTTCTTCAATGAAGTACTCAGGTCACTATGTTTGAAAAATATCTTGCACCAGCGGAGAGTAGATGGTGCGGTGTCCCACTCAACCTGCGGATCCACTGAACCAATGGCCAGCGAGTCGTCGCGAAGCCTCATGGCCAGGAGCTTCCAGTTCGGCATGGCCGGAACCTAGCCTTTTGGCAGGCCTGGTCTCAGAGGCAGAACTGAAGGAATTGCAGAGTTGTCCCTCCAATCCCGGGCAACATGCCTCCGGCGTTTCGCTACAGGTTCTGGCTCTCCTGCGTTACGCTAGAGAGCCGTACTTGTTGGTACCAACCTGCACCGATCACCTTGCACCAAACAGGTTGCTTGATTGTTGAAGCGAGTCACCACATAGTCGAGGGATGGCGTGGGCATATCGTTTGATACAAGAACATTCAGCACCACTCTTGGCACAGCTTCCAGGTGGGTGGTCACAGTACTGACAGCTGGATTTTCAGCATGTTTGCCCATTGTTTACTGAGGGGATCGCTTTGGTCATGTTGATGTCTTAGACTATCATATAGCGGATTATGTTTAATTTGGAAGGGTAAAGCTGAATTGGCCTTGGCCTTCTTCTACTTGGCCTTGTTCATACAGTAAGCCGCTTTTTGAGCGATTGAGTGGTGCAGACGATTCCCCTTCTTCGAAGCGAAACAACGAAGGTGGCAAATAGATCCCAACGCAACCGTGATCATCCTCGTTTCACGGGATTTCTTTGATTTGAGATGGATGGGTGAGAAGATCGTCATAGGTGGGTCATTCCTATTCCCTATGAGATTCACCTGTGTTCCTTAAGGGAATCCAGCTTATAGGGACCATAGGTGGATCATTCCCCTAGTTTTGCTTAATTTGGTGTCCCTTATAGAGTTGAGATTCACCCGTATGAGATGTTGTTTCTCCCTCCTTCTCCCCAGGAGAGATGGGAGGTCCTTTGTTCGGTCGGGGAGCCAGAGTCGTCACGAGTTGATGAGTGTTGCCATGTCGTCGCGACAAATGGCCAAGATGGAGATGGGCAAGCTGGAGCCCAGAACTCACCCTGTAGGTTGACCTCGACCTACCGTCCGTCAATTCTCTTCAACCGCCCTGACCGGGGACACCGCCATCTCTCCTCGCGGGCGATCCTGTAGCGGGACGGTCTTGGGGTGTGATGCCGTCTCGCACGGTCATGGCTCGACTACTCGAGCCAATGCCGCGGGGTGAGGTCGCGTCTGACCTTCGTCCTACCAATCTGGTAGGACGGTGTGTACCAGTTCCGAACGATGCTGAGGGTTTTTCATGTTTGAAAACATGGAGATTTGC